ATCTTGTCTTCAATCTATTACAGTCTTCAATCTATTACAGTGATATGTAATTGCGATTCAACCACCAAATGAGGCCGGCGCCACTGAGGCCGATTCGCCATCGAAGATCAGGTCGGGTGAATGAGACGACTCGCTGAACCTGTCGGACCGTGGATGGCCTCCGACTTGGATTCTTCCGGCACTGGAATTTACGGGCTGGTAGAAGCCTGCCTTCACCATCTGAAATATGTTCTTGATAACATGGAACTATCCAAGAAACAAATTCTTCTTATTATCAACTCTTAAAAACCACTGTCTAGAGGAATTAAACAAACAAAACTATCTCCGGCATCTTCCTGCTCTGATACCAAATGACACCATACTGGAGGGGGCTCGACGACTCCTCGTTGACGATCTGGTGGCCGAGCTCCACGGCTGGCCTAACAAACAAAACTATGACCACCACCTGACAGAACGTCAGGATACAAAACAAATCCTCCTTCCCCGGTAGTATGACACCGGAGCTGAGCTGCTTAAAACATGTTAACTTCAGGCTAGCTTAATTCTATTTGGTAGTTTATATGGTTGTATATGAATAGAGCTTTCTTCTACTGAGTTTAACCTATTATGTTGCTACATTTATTTATAAATACTTAACAAATACTTGTAATATGGCAGATTTTGAGATGAATAATATTTGAGTTGAGTTTTGTGTCTTTTCTATATCCTGAAGTATATTCAGGTGGTGGTTTCTTTTCAAGGAGTTCTTGGAGTTGTGTCTGGCGATGGCGACGATCACCGGATCGTCGATGAAGAGTTGTCGAGCCCCTCCGGTCCGGTGTCATGGGGTGGGCTGCATGAATTCGTTTTCTCCATTGTGTAATAGTCAAATTCATTTTAAGATTTAATAAAAAATATATAATTTTTAATATTTTCTAATCAAGTTTTTTTTTGTCTACCTCTATCTTTCTTAACATACACCGGATCTGAGACATCTATCAAAATTACAAATGAAAATATTTTTCTTTTAAAAGCTCTTTCATTTCTGCTCATGTAGCAAGCTCCTTTCCCAACCTTTCCCTTTATTTTTTTTGGATAAAATTTATCTTACTTTGTTTTATTTTAAAAAATTTCACTTGTCCTTCATCATATGTGATTTATTATTCAAAAAAAGGTTATCTAAATACAACACTCGACCAACAAAAAATTTGGAATCAATTTACCAACCCTAATATGTAACACTTTAATTTTAATTTTCCTTTTTTATGCTATTATCTATTTCAAAATTTTGTCATATATGATTTCAATTACCAACATTGTTATACACCTTAAATTATCTATTATGATTTTTTTTTTAAAATCTCACTAGTATTATTGGAATCTATTTTAGTTTCATGTGCATGAAGTTGATTAGCTTTCAAATGGAAAGTCATTTTTGAATCATATTAAGTGCATCACTTAATTAATTTTAACTATTCAACAATTCAACCAATTGATTTTGCACGGTTATCAATATCTTATCCCTTTCTTGATTTAGCAAATTACCTTACAACTAGCTCCACTTTCAACTGACATGTTGACACAACCCAAACTTTGATACTTTTTTTTTAATGTTTGGCAATTTATGATTAGGCTTTTCTAATAAAACTAGAATAATGCAATATAAGTAAATTTTACAAAGAAAATTATGATTCACATTTCCTAAATCATGAAATAAGTGAACAAATTGATTTATGTATATGCAAACAATAAATACGAGAATTAAAGTTCGTATGATAGTATAACGAATAAATCAGGAGAAAGCTGATGGACCAATGGATTTGATTGGGAGAGAATTTGGAAGTTTCCTAATCAAAGAGGAAGCTATTTATGAATGTTCTTAATCAAAGGAGAATTAATTTTAATTACAATTAGGAGAGAATTATTTAGGACAAGGGGATGAATTAGGAGATGTTTTTTAATTAAAAAGGGCAGATTTGGGGGTTGATTTGGAGGGGATTAATTAGAAGATGTTTTTTAATTGGAGAGAGCAGATTTGGGGGATGATTTGAGAGGTAATTGGGGGAGAGCAGTTTTGAAATATGTTGTTTATTGTTTGCTATAAGTAGTAGGGTTTATATTATATTTGGTATGCCGAATTTTGTGAGTGTTTGCTGTCCACTATTTTTGTGAGGAATCCTATCGACATCTAGGGTTTGAGAGAGACGGTCCTCTCGAAAGAGGGCCATTGCATCTTATTTTTTTGTATTTCCTTTCTTATCAATAAAAATCAGTTTGTTGAATTTGTATTAGTTCATTGGTTGTTTTTGATATCACGACGTATCAAATTGGTATCAGAGCACTTTTTTGGGACCTATGATAACAAAGAAGGTGGAGGTGTGGAAAGAAGGATGGAGCAAATCAAATGTGATGTGGAGAAGAAGAGCTCAACTATGGAATATGTAAAACAAATTGGGAAGGGTGGAGGAGATGTTAAGGAAGCTCATGAAGATGCAATCTGAACCTTCAATGGCGGTTCCGATTGCTAAACTTAATCAAGATTTGACCGGGATTCCCTTGGCCGAATCTAAGGGAAAGGAGATCGGGAGGAGTCGATGAGGGAGGATCGGAAGATGGAAATTTTGGGGTAAGAAGAGAGATATCACCTTTGGAGCCACTTCTAAGGAGAGGAAATGGTGAAGGAGTGAGATTTTTGGTGGACATGCAGAGTTTGGAAGGAGAATAAGATATGGAGAAAATAGAAGCACAAGATATGGTTCAACCACTCCAACAATATCGAGAGTTGTTCCAGTCAGTTCAGGGATTGCCTCCTCTGTGGGAACACGAGCATGCTATCATTTTGAAGGAAAGAGTCTCATGTATCATTGTTCATCTGTACCGTTCTCCCCAATTCTAGAAGTATGAGATCGAGAGATTAATCAGGGAGATGCTGGAGGCAGGCATCATTCAACCTAATGATAGTCCATTTTTCAGTCCAGTGCTTCAGCATCAGTTTCCTTTGTTCCACCTTGAGGATAGGGTGACACTTTGGGAGGGGAGTATTGATGGACCGACCAATTTGATTGGGAGAGAATTAGGAAGTTTCCTAATCAAGAGGAAGCTATTTAGGAAGTTTCTTAATTAAAGGAGAATTATTTAGAAAAAAAATTAATTATAATTAAGAGGAAATTATTTTGGCCAAGAGATCTAATTTTAATTATAATATGGAGGGGATTAATTGGAGATATTTCTAATTAAAAAGGATAGATTTGGGGGCTGATTTGGAGGGGATTAATTATGGGTTGTTTCCTAATGGAAGAGGGTAGATTTGGGGGCTTATTTGAGGGTGGATTTGAGAGGGAATTGGGGGAAGGCTGTTTTTAAAAATTTGTTGTTTATTGTTTGCTAGTAGTAGGGATTATGTTATATTTGGTATGTAGAATTTTGTGAGTGTTTGCTGTCCACTATTTTTGTGAGGAACCCTAGCGGCGTCTAGGGTTTAGGAGAGACTGTCCTCTCAAAAGAGGACCATTGCATCTTGTTTCTTTGTATTTCTTTTCTTATCAATAAAAATCTGTTGTTTGTTGAGAATTTGTATTGATTCGTTGGCTGATCAAAAATTCGAACCATGTAAAATAAGCTAGTAATCATAGTTTAATTATAACAACTTATTTCTCTACTGTGTTAAATTTGCACAAATCAAAAGCAATTGTAAGACAGCTGTAAGTTATGTTGAAAGAAATGATCATGCAAAGAAGTTATTAAATAAATCTAAGCTTCATGCCAGTACAACAAGATGACTCTTCCAGAATTAGGTAGTTGTATTTGTACCACATTTGAAGGAATTGCTTATCCAACTTCCACAAACAAGATTCTAAACTAGAAGCAGAAAGTTTATTAAATTACTTGCCTCATAACATCTATTTATAGATTCATCATCTCTAGATTAGTAGATATGGTTGACGCAAGATCATCCCAATCTCATTTCAGATAACCATCAAGTCTCCATTGTGGTCTTATCTAAAATGCAGAAATTAAAACAGCTTGGAAATATGCTTACTTGTTATGAACCCCTGAAATAGAACTGAAGGAGCAGCAGCCAGCTGTACTACGGTTCAAACTTCACACTTTCTTCATTACAAACCCTCAGGATTCAGCAATGCTGCAAAAGCTAATGCAAAAAACAAAACAACAGTTTGCGAGCTTCTATCTCTACTGCCCATTGGATCATAATTTGTGGTGAATTAATGAACCGCAAATTGCAGTATCTGAGGAACCACAAACCTGTAAGGCTGCTATAATGCTGCATCAGAAATTCTTTAGTCACTGCTACATCTAATTTGGTAAATCCGCATTTCTCATATCACATAATCAAGTTTTAGTACTGTTTAACTATAGCTCCAGTAGAATATAAGATTAGAGAAAGTCGCCTTAGATGGTTTTGGTCACATAAAACGGCGGCCTTGTGATGACCCGGTTAGGAGAGTAGAGGTATTAGATTTGACTTGTGTTAAGAAAGGTAGGGGTAGACCTAAAAAGACTTGGTTAGAAAATATTAGGAATGACCTTTCTTTATTAGATTTAAACGAGAATTTGCCTTTTAATAGGACTCAATGGAGAAAAAGGATTCATGTAGCCGACCCCACGTAGTGGGATAAAGGCTTGATGTTGATGTTGATGTTGATGTAGTCTTTGATGTGCCCACCGTGATCCTTGAAGATTTCAATGTACTATTCCTTGAAATGTTGAAAGAGAGAGGCCTTCTGTAATGGATCATCTTAGGTCAAGAATTCTAGCCTTCTGATGTCACTGAAACAGTGAGCTAGCACCCCTACCGATTTGACGCTTGAAAGAGAAAGTAGCTTGATTTTTGTACTTTGTATTCATTGATCAGTAACCTTTTATTATGATGTATCATTAATTTAGCTTAATCTTGTTTTTCATTATCTAAAATCTAATACTTCAGATTATTAGTGTTTTCAATTGATGTATTCCCTCAACCGCACCTTTTTTGTCATTTTAATTATTTTGAATTATGACAGAGGCTACATATGAAGTAATTCCTCGGCTTAACCAAATCAAATTTGATCATGGGGTTATTGATGAGCTTTTATATCTGGACATGCCCCACGAAAGCAGGCTTCCATCAGGAATGATGGTTTTGGAGTATGCAAAAGCTGTGCAAGAGAGTGTCCGTGAACAATGCCGTGTCGTGCGGGAGGGGCAACTTAGGATCATATTCACTCCAGATTTGAAGGTTTTTGAAAAGAAACTTATTTTCTGCTTGATTTTTTTTATGTTCTATATGTTGATGCTACGTTTAGATTAATCCATCAACATCATAAGTTGTTCTCTGCTTCAGATCTTGTGTTGGGAATTCTGTGCTCGCAGTCATGAAGAACTTCTCTCTCGTAGAATGATAGTTAGTCAGGTAACAGAATGCTTATTTGTAAATGCATGTCTAACTTTCAAGTTAGTTTTGTAACGAATTTTAACCTAAACAACTATGTTCTCTGGCATTCTTCTGTATATTCCTTTCCCCAATTTTTGGAACAATTATGGAAAGTATTGCGTTTTACTTCTTTATTTCTAGTTAAATTTATTATTTAATGTCCCCGCAGAAATATTTCTTTTAGCCGCTGGTTGCTCATAACCTTATTTTTTGAATTTACACTTTCCACTGAGAATCAGCTCCCTTTAATCTGGCAGCCGTTGAATCAAAATCATTGGATCTGCCCTATACCTTGAAATGGCTACCCAAACAAGTCTATAGGCTTTCTATACACAAAGACCATTGTTGTTTATTATCAAGGACTGACAAAATCATTAAACTGACACTAGGAGGCGTCTTTTTTGTTTAGTTGAATTTGGATCTCTTTGAAGTGCAGCTCAGGTGAAGGTTCTTTCAACCGGTTCTTAAGATTGCAAACTCACGAAGTTTTTTTGGAAGATATTGTGTAAATTTTAGTCGACAGGGTTAAATTAATTTTTTTCCAAGATATTAATTTTGAAAACTAATTGTTTCCCATCTGTCCTTTCTTGTTAGCTTTTTGTTCCACATGGTGCTTGTTTATTATAGCATATCATTTATATTGATCTTGCTTTATATGAACTATGTTGATTTTAACTTCTGTTTTTTGCAACCGTTATAAAATAGTCAAACCTCCTGAGTGATTCATTCATTTATCAATGGCCATTTCATGCTTGCAGGAGGGTTTTACTCTTTAAAGTACCCTGTTTAGATGACATTTTCCACATTTCCTAACATTTTCCAGATTTCCTAACCCTTGCATGGTTATGTTCTTTGGAATGGTTTCTGATTTACTGAAGTTACTGGGTCTTTCACTATTTTGTTGCTGCAGGTGAACCAGTTATTGCATGCTGCACATAAATATCAAACTACTGTTAATGAAAAAGGGGCCTCTGCAGTTTCCGTTCAAGATCTGCAAGCCAGTTGCAATATGTGAGTTAAAGTGAATAATATACATATTCAAGTCTTCACTGATAATTTTTATTTCTGTTTTTTATTCATCTTTTGAAAAATATTGTACTGGAAAATTAGGCATGGTGTTAGTCAATATGTTTAGTTTCTCGATGCAATAGTCAAGTAAAGAGTAACCCTTGCAACCATATCCATCTCCCCAGTGATAAAAATATCCATGTTTGCACTTCATAGACCCTTTGATGATGCTTCTGTGAGCCCAAATTGGTAGTATTATATAAAAGATAACTATTCTCTAGATGAGATGTGTATTCTCAATACTTCTCATTTTGTTTCATCTTGTTTTACTGGTGATTTGTTCATGTGCTACAATCTACAGTTGGAACCGGATATGAAGTGTTAATTGAACCCAACTTGGAATGGTTTACTGCATTTATGTTGTTATTTATTTCTTATTCATTGGTCAAATATGTTTATGAGATGTGTATTACAATATTTTACAGTATTAAAAAGAGTTAGCTCTGTGATTCTAACCCCGCACTACAGATGACCACTTCTCAGAAACTTAGGATTGGTATCGGCACTAGGAGTTTATGGAACAAGGCCTTGAGCAAAGTCTATTCTTTGGTTCTTTGTGCTACGTTTCTGATAGGAAGTACTTGTAGTTCTCGAGCATTTCCTATAAATATTCGAAAAACAGTGAGCTTTTTCCACAAAATCCACACAAAATCACAAAAATAGTAGATAATTTGTATTACTTGATGAAAGAGAAATGGAAAATAGCAAGATACACTTGATCCTCTATTCAAGAGGAGAATCGATCTCTCTAAAATCTCTAGACGCAGCTAGAGCCCAAAGGAAACCTAAAATTTAAGAGATATCAAATTTCAGCCAAATTCAAGATGCCCTAAGCCTAGGAGAACAAAGTATTTAATGCATACAAATCAAAAGGAAATCCCTAAACAGTCACTACATTCAAAATTCTCTCTCAAACCCCTAAAAAAAATCCTTCCAAACAAGTATCCCGAAACCTGCGGCCCGTTCGGTGCGTAAAGGCAGGCAGAAAGTTCCGCCTGTTTTGCATGAGCCGGTCTCGTCAGGCCGGCTGGACCGGTCTAACCGTTTCACTTTAGCCGTTTGAAAATCTATTCTAGGAATTATCATAAAAAAGTAAATAGAGTTTGCTCTGTGAATCTAACCCAGCACTACAGATGACCACTTCTCGAAAACTTAGGATTGGAATCGGCACTAGGAGTTTATGGAACAAGACCTTGATGAAAGTCTATTCTTTGGTTCTTGTGCTAAGTTTCACTTTAGTCATTTGAAAATCTATTCTATGAAATATCATGGTGTAACCTAAATTCCAAAATCAAATAGGAGAACACTAGGATAAACAAGACACCATTTTCAGTAAACAAAAGCCAACAACAATAGAAAAAAAACTTAATAGAAACATATGTAATAGAACTACTAGAAAACTTAACAAAAACAAACTAGTATATAAAATAAATTACCCTCAGACCAACCTTAAAAAAAAGAGGTCACCTTACATGCAAATATGAAAATTAAGTATTGGTGCTCCAAGGAAAAATCAAACCAGTGGCTCGCCACATAAATCTTGATCCAACACCGGTCGGCACTCCTCTGGCAAATACCAATAAACCGGCCAAACAATACACCACACTCGCTATATTTGGAGAAGAAGGATACAATTGGAAGGGAAACCGTGGAGACATGAAATAGATAGAAGATTAGAAGAAAAATTAAGTAGAGGAAGATGGTAGCTCTCAAACTAGGAAGAAAAACCCCCAGGTTTAAAGAAGATTTCATACAACAACCAACCCCCCACCAGCATCAAACATCTCCTGTATATAGGGGAAAATGAACCCAACATCCTCATAAATGTGCCGCCCCCAAGCATCCAATAGGAGCCAACACAACATAGAAAATAGCCAAGGGAGAGGAACAAACAACACAAGGAGCCAATAGCTGGAAATTCAAGCAGAGAGGATCCAAAATTTGCTTTGGAACCTGGCAAAAATTCCAATAGCCACCAAGCCATAATAAACAACAACCAACGACCATCAAGCCATAATAAGCCAACAACCAAACAACCAAACAATCAAGGATAAATGGGCCAAGCTCAATAAGGAAATATTAGCCCATAAATAAATGTCCACTTAGCCAAAGGAAGCAAGCAAATAAAATCAACATGAGTGAAAAAACCAAAGGAGAGAAATTACCTAAGAGTACCAACCTAGCATGTTTATCTGTTGTCTTTCATGGTATATAAAATCCAAAATTACATAATATTCAAAATATAAAATACAAAATAAAAATCATTGATTGCATCATATCATAAAAAAGTAAACAGTTGTTTGAGGTGCATGATCACATTTTTTTGGGTATCTTTAGCATTTCTCCTTTGGTATTTTGTCTTTTGTTTATAGATTATTGTTTTGGTAGATGGTTGTTTGGATGTATATCTTTTAGTGCATTCAAATATTTAAGTAAATATTGTGGTTGTGAATAGGACATTGTTAGTTCTGTGTGGAATCTGATTGTGTTTAATCAATTGGGTTGTATTGTTGTCTTGGACCTTAATTCAGTATGTTAAGCTCAGTGGGGTTGTAGGGGGTCCTCCTGCTTGGGTTCGGGTATTTTTGTATTAGTATTTTTTTTCTGTACAGTGCTCCGGCGCTGCTTAGGTTGGTGTAAAAAGACATAGAAGAGGAGTGTTGTCGTGCTACAAACCTCGGAGCTGCTAGGGAGCATTGTGAGCTCTAGACCTGACACTGCGGTGTTGTGGTGCAAGCTAAAATCAGAGTGGGAGCGCCATGACGCTCCAACTTGGCCTCACAGTGATGTGAGGTTGGTTCGACAATTTTCTATATCGTTTTTCATTAAGGGTTGTGTCCCTTGGTAGTTTATATTGTATTTCTTTGTATGTTATAGTGTGAGAATGGTGAAAGGGTAAAGAGAAGCAATAAGAGTGAGAAATAAAATATATTTGTACTATTTTTCCAAATTTTCATAGTGAATTTCTTGGTGTGGTGTGGCTCCGTGGATTTTTTATGATTTTGAATTTTTCCACATTAAAGCCTGGCGTTCTTTCTTTTTTGTTGCATTTTTTATTTCTTGTTTGTTTCATTGCTTTACTCCTAAGAACTGGTATTAGAGTCACGTTCTTCATTTCTAGTGGGAAATGGTTGATGAAACAAGATATAAGATTGAAAAGTTCAATGGTTTGAGCTTTGCATTTTGGAAGATGCAAATTGAATATTTGTTGTATCAGAAGTTGTATTTACCGTTAGAAGGAATCACCAATAAGTCGAATTTAATGACTATAGAGGAGTGTGAGGTTCTTGACCGGATTGCATTAGGTTTGATTTGACTTTCACTTTTTTTATATGTTGCATTCAACATTATAAATGAGAAGACTACAATTAATCTCATGGTTGCATTGGCTAAAATGTATGATAAGTCATTGGCTTTAAACAAAGTGTTATTGGTGAAGTTATTCAATATGAAGATATTAAACAACGCTTCAATGACATAGCACTTGAATAATTTGACACTTTGATGTTAATTGTGTTCAGTTGACATTAAGTTTAATGATGAGGTGAGAGCGTTTCTGTTCTTATCTTCATTGCCAAATAGTTGGGATGGACTAGTTACTACTATGAGTAACTCTTCAGGAAGTTCAAAATTAAACTTTGATGATATTTTGGGGTTAGAATTTAATGAGAGGTTCGCAGGAAGGCGAATGGTGGGTTTTCAAATTCTGCTCTGAATGTTGAAACAAGAGGTAGGGGTTTAGAGAGAAATTGATGTAGACAAAGGGGGGTCAACTCATGTCCAAAATAAATCAATTTTGGCCTCTCTCGAGTTTACAAGCTCAATCAAAATTGAGTTGAAATTTTAGCTCATTTATGAGCTGGTCTTTAGTTCACTTATTTAACTAAGGGTTAGCTCATTATTAACTAATATTTTAGTTCATAGTTATCTTTTTATTAATGTAATTTTTATTTTTTTTTTTGTGTTTTAATTATGTTTGTCTCTTGGAATTCCAAACCGGCTTTTGGAATTCCAAGATGTGTTGTTTTCCATGCCGTGGCTCCTTAGCTTCCACCATGAGCTGCTGTTTTCTGTGCCTTTGCCCCTTGGATTTCCGGCCGGTTGCTGGTTTTTCGAGCCTGGGAGTTTTCCTGTGGCTGTGGCGCCTTGGTTCCGTGCGGCCTCCTTGGCTCCCGTGGCTGCTCCTTCGGTTCTTGGGCTTGGGATATTTTTCTGTGAAAAGCAATAGGGTTTTAATGGTTTGTGATGTTTGAAATTCCAATGAGAATTCATTGTTTGTGTCCTTTTGTATTCCCCTTTCATACCTATAAATATGAGGGGCTTGTTATGTTTTAAAATAGTGAATGTTATGTGATTGATTTTTGGAAATGTAAACCTGCGGGTTTCATTGGAAAAGCTTGCGAGCTTTGTCCACCTTCTTTCTCATCCCCTCCGGAAATCTTGCGAGCTCTTTCCAACCTTTCATCTCGGCTTCTAACCTCTTTCTTCTCTCCGCAAGTGCCACTCCACCTGTATCCCTCTTCTAATTGTAAAGCAATTTTAGGGTGTCTTTAATTTCAAGTCAAGATTGTAGGTCGTCGTAATTTTGTTTTTTTTTTAAATTTCTAAGTCGGTCTTAGATTTGAAATGTAAGAGTTTGTTCTAATATCTCTAAGTAAATCTCTTCATTTTGTGTCTCTTCTATTACCTAGTATAGAGTCTCTTTCACTTTTTGTGATAAAAAAATATAGGGCCCCCTATATTTTTTGATTGCATCAGAAATCCAAGTAGAGGGAGATCTAAGTCAAGGGTAGAAAAGTCTACTACAGGTAGAGTGAAAGTTGTGTGCTGGAATTATGAAAAGAAGGGTCACTTGAGAAGGGTTGTACTGTTCCAAAGAAGGCTAGTGGTGAAGTTCAAGACAACAATCACTTTATAAATGTATCTGTAGAGGAATTTTAGTC